AAACATCAATACATTGTTTGTAAAATAAATAAGATTTGGGGGAAAGAGTATCTATTTTTTTAAAAATATTTCAGCATAATCAATGATAATGTAAACCTAGATCAGCTGCGCTTGACTAAAAAGTCTTGGGTTAGGAATGAGTCACCATTATTGCATCTTCATGCAGTCATGCTTATAGAGACTCCGAGAGACTTAATAACGTACTTTTTTTTGCACCACAACACAAAATAACTTGCAATAAATGGTATATTTGCATCTAAAAACTAATTAAAATTTACAAAAGCAGCATAGAATCTTGTTTCTTTTTAATTGATATGGGTAAACTCCCACTATTTCCACTTTGGTGGTCGGTGCATGCAAAGAGATTTGAATGGAACGAAAATTAAATATTTCGATGTGGCCACACCCCTCGAACAAAATAAAATAACACTCTATTTGTTCATTTTTTAATTTTCTTTTTAATGGTGTGAATTTTATTTTGTTCAGAGGGTGTGGCCATAGCAAAAATTTGAATCAAAGACGAAAAAAATGCTAAATTTTGATAAAAAGTGGCAAAGTTCACGTGTTTAGACGTTTTCTGTACAAATATGACGTCATCAAATGAAAATTTTGGCGTAAACTATTCAAGATAGATACATATGGATAATATTTCCGTAAAATTTTCTTCTTCCCCTCACTTTATTTTTCCTAAAATCATTAGGCCGATTTAGTACATTCGTGGATTTAGCTCTTTTACAAAATCTTATCCTTTCATCTGTTTGCAGTGAACGCGTTGCTCGACGTGCAATTAAGACAAAGATGAAGATGGGCATTAACTGTAGAAATACGGAATGAGCATGAAATATCTTTGGTTACTTAGAAATATAATACCATGACCTAAATAAATTTTGAAATTGCATCTCAATAATCCTTTTGTGTGTTGAGACCTATATTTAAAAAAAAGACTAATGTTGTGTGTTGATGTGTAATTATGTTAGGTTTCTAAAGCCGATTTTTTGTGAGGAAATTGAATAAGTTGCTGTGTCACAAAGTATGGAGGTTCAGTTTCACAAAGTTTTTAAAGGATTCGTAGAATGGCCAATTTGTGATACTGGTTGACAAACTAATATTGAAAATGTTTTTAAATTCTTAAAAATGTTGTCATGTTATTAAGAAAAAGCATCTTTTTACAGAATTTTAACTTGAGGTGTCTTAAATATTCAGAATAATTGCCGTGTTAAATATATATGTGCTACATGTGTCACATGAAATTTGACGGTAAAAATGTCACATTTAAATGCTACATTGAATTACTTTTTTTAAGAGTTCATTTTTCTAGCTTGACACTATACAACATATTATGGAAAATGTGCGAAATCAAAACTTTAGTGATATATGAAAATTAATTGATTCTTTAAAAAAGTACTTGTTTCATAGGATATCTGCGGTGCCAACATAGAATATCACATATTGTCAAAAACTAATCAATTTATAGTTAAAATGTGGTTAGATAAATTATATTTGTAGCCATTTGTAGCCATTAATAATAGACATATTGAAATTTAATTTAATTTTTCTCGAATGTGTATCTCTTTTTAATTGCCATTCTCTGTAACCACTTAAACTTCGCTGCCACGCATGGTCACCGATTTTGATGAAACTTCACCCATGCATAGTACTTGACACCAGAAACAAACATCAAACAAAATTTCGTTGCTAAGTGTCTCGGTTGCTATGGCAACAGCCGGAAAAGTTTGAAAAATCGAGATTTTCAGCCACTTTAAATCCTGACTGTGGCTTAATAAAAACTAGAAAAAGCAAACAAACCATTCTAACAAAAACATGACACCTTGATGTCACTTATACTGTGAAGAAATTGTTTAGAATATATCTCTAAGTAAGTGGTAACCAAGGGTACATTTGGAATACATTTAAAATGCTGAAATATGCTGAAAAACACTCCATATTCACTAATGACAGGTGTTACATGCTAAAACTCAATCATTGACTTAAGAAAACAATGAAAATGTTTGACCTTAAGTATATAAGTATAAGCAATATTATTCTCTAAATAACTTTTATGGTTGCCATGGTAACACAGTGAAACCATGCAAAACCAGTAACTAAGATTGGGTTAATGCTACTGTCTTGAGGAAAAACATGAAAATTCAAGACTGGCAAATATGCATCCTTAGGACCTTGCAACACCAAAACCGTAAGAAAAATTTGGTATAATTGCTTCTTTGTAGTGTTACCATGGAAACAAAGTACCAGTGCTTAAAAGTGAATTTTTTTCAGCTGCATTAAGAATTAAATTGCCATTTAATCAAGAAACAAATTAAAGAGCTCAGCTGGAATAGTCTTATCTATTAGAACTGACGTTAAATATTATATATTGATAAAATTTGATGAATAAAACAACACTGTTGCTATGGTTACCAAGAAGGGAAAATGTTCGATTTTTTGAACTTTATATCAATATTAAACCCTGTGTGCCAACTTCTTGCATCCACTTAGAGATTGGATGATAGTCAAAATTAAAAGTCAAGTTAGCTGTTAATAAATATCAATCATAAAAGTTTTGGGAATCTACATTTAAGGGTACGTATCCAAGGAAACAAAATATTTTTCAGGTTTTTAAGCATATATTTTCTGCGTATTTCCATAGCAACGCTCTATTTAAAGAATCTAATCTAAATTTTTTGAAATGGGAAAATTTGGAGCACACCAACATCTTATAAAATTGATCATTAGTTATGAGGAAATGTGCTTTTTTTAAAAGATAGGATCATATTTAAACATACATAGTGTTACTTTGAAGGCTCTCTGGGGCATAAAAACCTTGGTAACCATTGCCAACCAAAATGAAATATCATATTTTTTCTTGGTATGTGTTTCAAGGCTCTTTTTTCTATTATTTGGTAACATTTCATCCTATAATTGCTTTTCATTTTTACGAGTATGACTTCATAAAATTCAATGAATATTTTTTTTTACTTTTGAATACTTTGTTACCATAGTAACGTATGTAATAGTTGATTTACCAAACATTTTTATCATGCATTTGAGACATCTTACCTTCAACTTTTGGAAACAGTCATTAACAATTGTTTGCTTTGCCGCAAATGTTAACTATGGGGCTCTAAACATGTTAAAAAATGCCATTTTTCGAACTTTAAGACATGTTGCCATGGTAACTATAAAACATAGCAACCAATTTTTGCCTGATTTCAGTTCAGGGTATCAATGCCTTTTATCTTAGAGAGTTTGGAGAAATTCTGAGACTATGCGTGCACAGCTCCTATATAAAATTTCAAATCATTACAGAGAATGGCTCTTAAATAGTTATTGATATATATTCAATAATAAAATCAATAGAATGGTGACAAATTCTTAACAAAAAATAAATGTCAACATGTTATGTCACATACGTAAAGATGAGGTGTTTCGACGTTATTACGTTTACTTGCATAGATTTTTGATAATCGAAAGCATAAGCGCAGAGCAAACACGGACCCCCGAAACATCAGAGGTGGGATCAGGTACCATAGAGGAGTGAGCATCCCCTGCCGACTGGTCACACCCGCCGTGTGCTCCTTGTCGTGATCAGGAAATAATGGAAAAATCCGTCGTCAATTCAGTGTATAAATAATGGACTAACAGTTGGTATGAAAAACGTCAGTCATCATTTGACTCAATGATAAATTGTATTTGCTGACAAGGTCATTGTATCGACCATAGAACTTGCGAAATGATGACTTTAAACGAAACTGCTGATATTCCTATTTTATCAACTTTCTTGTCAATAATTTACCTCGTTTTATATATTGTTCATACATAGAGCATGCTCTTACGTATCGAATCAACTGAGATATATATACCCCGTAAGCAGGTTATGAAGGTATATTGCTGCATAAGTAAGGGAAGCTGACGATAGAAAAGTTAAAGTCATCACATTAATCATATAGCTTGGTTGTTTGATTACCATTAACGTCTTTTTCAAGTAAAATATCCAAGTATGAAACAGAAGTTTCAGACTCTGTGGTATCTTTTATCTCAAGTTCACCAGGATATATCGTATCGACGTAGGAGTGGAAGTTGAAGTAGCCTTGATTAGTTGATTCCAGAGATTATATTATGATTCTATCACCCATCACATGAACAACTCATATGGATGCTTTCAGAGTTTTAATCAAGAGCGATAACTCTAAACAATATACAAGCGATAACTCTAAACAACATACAATACAAAGTTATGGTTCTTACTTATAATCATTACATTCCCCCTCTTCTTAAATTTCCACTATAAGACAAATTAATTTGAATAAAATGTCAATACTAAAAAATGATGTCTTCTTTCAAACTCAAATCAAAATAAAAATCACTAAAATGAGCAACATTAAAAATTTAACAGTTTTTTAACACTGTTCATACATGTAAAATTTACACATTATGTCAAAACAAAGTCTTTGACACGAGTTGGTAGCCTACGTTCCTGAACGGATCTTAGACACGGAAAATTTCCATGGTCGGTCGCGATATTAGGGTCTTCCATATCATTGATCGTAGGGTTGTTCACCTCCTCGTTTGGCACGTCACTTTGTGAAACGTCTACATCAGTCGCCTCATCTGTGTTGTCAAGTTGGATATTACTATCTAACTCCAGGTTTTTCACTTGCTTTTCTGCGGTACATATATGTACCTCCATGCGGTGCTCTCAGCAGAACTTCGTTTACTGTTCGTTCGATGACTTCGTATGGTTTGGTTTCAAAATCAGGTGAAAGTTTGTTTTATTTGGCTGTTGAACCAACACTTGGTCTCCGATTTGTACTTGACTGTTTTTTGCGTTTCTACTTTTGGTTGCATATTCTTTCTCTTTCTTCTTTTCATCCAGTCTCTAACTCGGATGTCTTCTTTCTCTCTCTCTCTCTCTCTCTCTCTGTCTCTCTCTCTCTCTGGGAGGCTGGGAATCTTTGTTTTCACTTGATATCGGAAAATAAGTTTGTTCGGCGCAATTCCAGTTACTGTGTGCGGTGTGCTTCTGTAAGCTGATAGGAATTTTGGTAGCTCCTCTCTCCAATCCTTCCCTTCAAAATGAACGGTCCTAATATCTTTAAATAAGGTCTTATTCTGTCGCTCACCTCTCCGTTAGCTTGCGGCCAATAAGGTGTTGATGTTTCATGGGTGATGCCATACTCCTCTAAAAACTTCTCACATACTGTAGATTGAAACTGAGCTCCATTGTCACTTCTTAGACTGTCAGGAATACCATAGCGAGCAAATGTTTCCTCCAGACATTCGATGATTTTGGCTGATCCTGTGTTCTTCAAAATAAAAGTTTCAAAGAAACGGCTATAATAGTCCACATACACCAATCCTGATTCTGCTGTTGGAAAAGGTCCCATTAGATCGACTGCTGTAGCTTGCCAGGGATAATCTGGAAGCAATTTACGGCGTAAAGATTCAGGTGACGACGGACCTCCCACTACTTGACATGTGTAACAATTCTTTCAAATACGTTCCGCATCACTGTCAATCGTTGGCCACCAGATTTTCTCTCGGAGTCGTTATTTTGTTTTAGTGATTCCTTGATGTCCCTCATGAGCAGCGGCTAAAACTTTCTCTCTTCAGCTGGTTGGAATCACAGTAGAAGTGCCTCTGAGAATAACTTTTCTTATACTGCACAGTTCATTTTTGACAGCTATGTAGCTTTTCTCACAATCTGTCCAATTTCCAGTCGGTATAGCTTCTTTAACTCTGTGTAACTCAAGATCTCCAGCGGACTATTTCTCCACATCCTGAATCGTCAAGGTTCTGGGTACCGCTTGTAGAGCTACGAATCTTACAAAATCCTCAGATAGTGGACTTGGTGACGGTGTATCAGATTTATAGATACACAGTCGAGATAGTACGTCAGCAGCATTCTTGTGTCCAGGAATGTACTTTACCGTGAACTGGAAAGGTTGAAGTCTCAATTCCCATCGTTGGATGCGCGCACACGGATTTGACTTCGTGCTGTAAATCAATTGTAGAGGCTTATGGTCTGTAAGCAGATCAAATTTGCATCCATACAAATACATATAAAAGCGTTCACATGCCCAAACCAGCGCTAATGCCTCTTTTTATCTCTAGGAGTATCTTCTCTCGACATCTGTCAAACTTTTACTTTCGAATCAAATAACACGTGGTTCCCTTCTGTAGCTGTACAAGCACTGCACCTAGGCCCATAGGAGTGGCATCGGCAATCACTTGAGTTCTTGCTTTTGGATCGAAGTATCCCAATGTAACGGCTTTCGATAAACTTGTCTTCAGCTTTCTGAATGCTTGGTCTTAATCAGGGCCCCAATTAAATGGTTGATTTTTCCCTGTTGACATTCTTAAGGGTTCGGACAATGTCGCTAGGTAAGGAATAAATTTTCCACAATAGGTAACTTCTGACTTTTAATGCGTTTATTGGTGGTCTAGCTTCTACTATAGCTTTAACTTTCTGGTTGGGTCGATTCCCTTATCTGATAAGATGTGTCCCATGAATTCTAGTTTCCGGAGACGAAGTTGACATTTTTCTTTGTTGAATGTCAATCCTTTGTTACCCAGTTTCTCAATGACAGCTAATAATCTGCGGTCATGTTCTTCCAATGTTTTGGCATGCACAATGATGTCGTCCGACATATTTCTTACTCCGTCGCATCCTTGAAGTGCTTGCTGGATGGTGTGCTGGTCAATTTTGGGTGCTGAAGTGACACCAAAACTAAGTCTTTTATAACGAAAAGTTCAACGTAAGTAACAAACGTGGTGATGTCACGAGATTCTTGAGACAGCTCTAATTGATGTAAACCAGATCCAACTTGCTGAAAACACAACTTCCGTTTAGCTCGTGTACAATTTCATCAATGGTAGGTATAGGATGTCTCTCTCTTATGATTGCCTCATTATCTCATGTTGACGCATAGACGAATATTTCCTGACGGCTTGGGTGTAACAACGATAGGGCTGACCCATGATGATGGTCCCTCGACCGGCTCAATGATATCTATATCCTGCAACTCCTTAAGTTAGGCTTCAACCTTCTCCCTGATAACAAATGGAATCCTCCTGACCGGCTGAGCCACGGGTGTATCATTGTCATTTATGTGTAGCATCAACTTGAAGTTCTTCAACTTTCCTACACCGTTAAAGTACTTTTCATACTTGTTCAATAAGTCGTCCTCCGACAGGAAATTTACATGCGTCACGCTCAGATTTCCGAGTTCTGTTGCCGTTTTATGTTCCAACAGCGCCTGTCCTTTACCTTGGAACACAATAAATTTCCCACTGCAATATCCACAATTAAACTTCCTATAGTGTCCAAAGGTTTGGAAATCCCATACAGATAAAGTTTCTTATCTGATCCTATCTGTTCTCTGTGAAGTGCATATGACCTTTCTCTTCTTTAGATCCTCCCATAGAAGTCGGTCAATGACATTATTGCTAGCACCAGAGTCGACGATCATTGAATTTTCTTATAATCCCCCAATTTTTTTGGTCACTGTTGGGTGATTTGGTCCACCAACTGTTGGCATTTCAAGAGTTCCTTGTGAATTGTCCGGAGTTAATGTAAATGCATTAGCTTCATCAGAATCCTGCGGATTTGTCGTTTCCACCAGTCTAACTTGTTGCTTGTGTTTACCTCGTCCCGAATATTTGTGAGTCTTAGGTGTAGAAGATTTACAGCACTTAGCGAAATGACCTTGCTAGAGACACTTACGGCATTCTTGACCCAGGGCAGGGCATGTTGGATCAGACTAAATATGTCCCCGTTTGCCACAACTATAACAAGTCATGTATTCTTTGTGTTTCCCTGTGCTTACTTTATTCACAAAAGTTTCTGAATTCCTTCTTCCTTCAATTACGCTCGCTTGTTGTTGACTTTGTTCAAAAGCCCTTCCTATAGTTAACGTTTGCTCAAGTATCAGTTCACCCCCTCTTTCCAGTAATTTCCTAAGCAAGTGTGACGATTTATATTTCTCGATGACTTGATCCCGAACATGTTCGTTCGCATTATCAAAATTACAATGTTCAGATTTCTGTTTCAATTGAGTTATAAATTGATCAACACTTGCATTCGGTTTCTGTGTCATCAATTGAAATTCATGCCTTTCGAATGGTGTGTTTACTCTTGGGCGGTAGTAGTTGTCAAGTTGTTCCATGGCTATGTCGTACACTGCTTCATCTCCTTCGGGTTCGCGAGGCGCGGGAAATGTGAAAATAAATATCCTGCATCTTCATACCTCCACAATGTAATAACAAATCTTTCTTTTGTGCCGCATTTTCGATACCTTTACCGGCTGCAAATTACTCAAAAGCTCTGCGCCATTTTTGCCATCTCACCCCTACACTTGTCGGCTCCCCATCACAATCAAAGGTAGGAATTCCGCCTAAATCGGTCGTTACTAACTGAGCCATCCTGTTTCATAGAATCTGTTCTCAATCCTCGTCGCCAATGCATTAGCCTTGATTAGTAGATTCCAGAGATTATATTATGATTCTATGACCCATCACATGGACAACACATGGCTGCTTTCAGACTCAGTTTTAATCAAGAGTGATAACTCTAAACAACATATAAGCGATAAATCTAAACAACATACAATACAAAGTAATGGTCCTTACTTATAATCATTACAGAAGTTTCCATTGTTAATTGACAATACGTCGTCGATATATCTAAATGGCGAGTTGAAGGGCAAAGCAAGTATTAAATCTACACGTATACAATATGGTGGCATATTTCTGTTCCCCCAAATGCAAAATAAAAAACATAATTAACATAAAAACATAATTATGTAGACATGCAACATATCACCATATTACATGTAGTATAACTTGTCAGATTCTCACTCAGTTTAAGAAAACAGATAAACAAAGTAACACACACACAAATGATATTAGAATAAGATTTCAAATTTGAATTTCCAGACAATAAAGTACAGTGTATGCCAACTGTGTATTTGATGTTGGCAAAGCGTTTAACATGGACAATTTACATTAAATAATCCAATATTAACCCGGTAGCATAGTTCGAATCAAAAAAGTTAAATTTAATTATGGTACCATAAACAAAAATACGAGAGATGATCAAAAAGTTCGCGAACAAATTGAATAAAAGAATTAAAATTACGTGTTAGTGTTCATTTTTTAAAGTAGCCCTCTCTAATTTTAATGCATGCCTGCCACCGTTCTGCCCCTGCGCGAATCACGTTATCTAGGCGGTCCCGTGACGTGCTTTAAAGTTGATGTTTATAGCAAGAACAATCACTTTGTTAGAAATGAACAAACCCCGGAATTAGGATGGTTGGATAAGGATATCAATTCTTTGAAAGAACATGTGACTATCACAACCCGAGATCTCTATGTAAGGAACGTCGTTTATCAATTATTGATATTGTTGAGGGGACCTTTTTTATCATATTTAATATGTTAAAAGTCTAAATTAAACGATAATTTAGGGATTTCATCAAGATGTTACTGTAAGATATTCAACCATTTTCCTGGCTGTAACTTCACAATCTTTCATAAAAAATTGCCTAGCAAAGGGCACCTCTCTTCCCCAGCTTGTTTTCACTGGGCTAAAAAACAAACTTCATTTTAAGCCATTTCCCTCCTTATACTAAAACAATCAATCCAATTGCAAAATATGATTGAAGTCTGGAAAGTCTATTGTCTTCATAAACCTTGTGCAAATTATTATAAGATATATCAAAGGAATTTCCAAGTTATACATTAAACTTCACAGGCGTTCATTGTTCAAGTAAGATAGTGACAACCACTTTTCACGAGTCGCCTACAGATTGATGTCGTTTTAACATTGTGACGTCGCAATGACAGAGAAAATCATTACTTTTCAAACGCGATAACTCCAGCAAATTAAAGACAAATGCATTATCAACATATACAAATCATATTAGGAAACCTTAAATTTTGTATATTGATTTCTCAATCTTTTTCTTTTTTAGATAAGGAAAATTGTAAATCTGAGAAAAATATCGTACAGGGAGTTCATTCTTCTAAAAATAAGGTTGGATCTTTCATTAATCCTTTCTGTCTCGCACGGAATTTGGAAATGACAAAATGTATCCTGAGAGAATATCCTGATTCAATTTTTAGTGTTGACGAAAATGGATGGAATGCTTCACATTTTGTCGCACAGAGGGGAAATATTCACATTTTACATCTTCTTGCAGGCAAAGGTGCCACTTTAACTGAAACCACATATGATCATCAGACAATTCTGCATATTGCATGTTCTAATAATAAATACACAATTTGTCAACACATATTGTCACAATATCCTGATATGCTCAATACTGTAACTACACAGGGATGGAATGCTGCACATTTTGCAGCACAAGGAGGCGATGTTCGCATTTTACAGCTTCTGGCAGATAAGGGTACTTCTTTAACTAAAACCACGTATGACCGTAAGACAATTCTGCATATTGCATGCATGTTTTCTAGATTTGAGATGTGCAATCACATACTGTCACAGTATCCTAATATGCAGAATGTTGTAGATAAATTTGGATGGAATGCTGCACATTTTGCTGCACAAGAAGGTGACGTTCGCATTTTACGGCTTCTGTCAGACAAAGGTGTCCCTATCACCGAAATCACTTTTGACCACTTAACAATTCTGCATATTGCATGCAAGCATGCTAAATATGAGATGTGTCAACATATACTCTCAAAGTCTCCTGAATTGCTAAATCTTTTGAGTACACGAGGATGGACTGCTGCACATTATGCAGCAGAAGGAGGCGATATTCGTATTTTACAGCTTCTGTCAGACAAAGGTGTCCCTGTAACCGAAACCACATATGACAATAGGACCATTCTGCATAATGCATGTGCATGTGCCAAATACGAAATGTGTGAATATATACTGTCACAATATCCTGATATGCCTAATGTTGTATCTACACTAGGATGGACTGCTGCACATTGTGCAACACAAGGAGGCGATGTTCGTTTTTTACAGCTTCTGGCAGACAAAGGTGTCCCTTTAACTGGAGCCACATATGCCAATCAGACAATTCTGCATTTCGCATGCAGTAATGCAAAATACGAAATGTGTCAACACATACTGTCACAATATCCATATATATTAAATGTTGTAGATAGATATGGATGGAATGCTGCACATTTTGCGGCACAGGGAGGCGATGTTCGTATTTTACAGCTTCTGGCAGACAAAGGTGTCCCTGTAACCGAAACCACGTATGACAATGGGACCATTCTGCATAATGCATGTGCATGTGCTAAATACGAAATGTGTGAATACATTCTGTCGAAATATCATGATATGCCTAATGTTGTATCTACACTAGGATGGACTGCTGCACATTGTGCAGCACAAGGAGGCGATGTTCGTATTTTACAGCTTCTGTCAGACAAAGGTGTCCCTGTAACCGAAACCACATATGGCAATTCTACAATTCTGCATATTGCATGTTGTAATGCTAAATACGAAATGTGTGAATATATACTGTCACAATATCCTGATATACTAAATGCTGTGAATACACGAGGATGGAATGCTGCACATTATGCAGCACAAGGAGGCGATATTCGTATTTTACAGCTTTTGTCAGACAAAGGTGTCCCTTTAACTGGAGCCACATATGACAATAAGACAATTCTACATATCGCATGTCGCCATGCAAAATATGCAATGTGTCAACACATACTGTCACAATATCCTGATATACTAAATGTTGTAGATACATATGGATGGAATGCTGCACATTTTGCGGCACAGGGAGGCGATATTCGCATTTTACAGCTTCTGTCAGACAAAGGTGTCCCTAATATCGAAACAACATATGACAATTCTACAATTCTGCATATTGCATGCATGTTTGCTAAATATGAGATGTGTCAACATATACTCTCAAAGTCTCCTGAATTGCAAAATCTTTTGAATACACGAGGATGGAATGCTGCACATTGTGCAGCACAAGGAGGCGATATTCGTATTTTACAGCTTTTGTCAGACAAAGGTGTCCCTTTAACTGGAGCCACATATGACAATAAGACAATTCTACATATCGCATGTCGCCATGCAAAATATGCAATGTGTCAACACATACTGTCAAAATATCCTGATATACTAAATGTTGTAGATACATATGGATGGAATGCTGCACATTTTGCGGCACAGGGAGGCGATATTCGCATTTTACAGCTTCTGTCAGACAAAGGTGTCCCTAATATCGAAACAACATATGACAATTCTACAATTCTGCATATTGCATGCATGTTTGCTAAATATGAGATGTGTCAACATATACTCTCAAAGTCTCCTGAATTGCAAAATCTTTTGAATGCACGAGGATGGACTGCTGCACATTATGCAGCAGAAGGAGGCGATATTCGTATTTTACAGCTTTTGTCAGACAAAGGTGTCCCTGTAACCGAAACCACATATGACAATTTGTCAATTCTGCATTTAGCATGTTTTTACGCGAAATACAAATTTTGTGAATACACACTGTCACAATATCCAGATATGCTAAATGTAGTAAATACACTGGGATATAATGCTGCACATTGTGCAGCACAAGGAGGCGATATTCGTATTTTACAGCTTCTGGCAGACAAAGGTGTCCCTTTAACTGGAGCCACATATGAGAATGAGACAATTCTGCATATCGCATGCGCTCATGCTAAGTACGCAATGTGTCAACAAATACTGTCACAATATCCTGAAATTCTAAATGATGTAACTAAACAAGGATTGAATGCTGCACATTGTGCAGCACAAGGAGGCGACGTTCGCATTTTAAATCTTCTGGCAGACAAAGGCGTCCCTTTAACTGGAACTACATATGACAATGGGACAATTCTGCATTTCGCATGCTGTAATGCAAAATACGAGATGTGTCAATATATATTGTCACATCATTCTAATATGCTCGATGATGTAAATACACAGGGATGGAATGCTGCACATTGTGCAGCACAAGGAGGCGATGTTCGCATTTTACAGCTTCTTTCAGACAAAGGTGTCCCTATCACCGAAACCACTTTTGACCACTTAACAATTCTGCATATCGCATGTAGTAGTGCTAAATATGAGATGTGTCAACACATACTGTCACAGTATCCTAATTTAATTCATTCTATGGATATCACAGGAAAAAATGCTGCACATTTTGCAATACAGGGAGGAAATACTCGAATTTTACAGCTCCTAACCCAAAAAGGAGTACGCCTAAATGCATGTAGTGAAAACGAATGAATAATATTTGATACATGAAGTTTGTAGTTTCTAAGGTGAAAGACAAACTGCACACGAACAGTTACAATTTTATATTCAAAGGAGTGAATTAAAAGAGATGAAAAACAGCCTTTTGAACAGCACATACACAACATTGATCGAAGTTTTGTTTGTTCGACTTCAAGTGTAAAATTTGAAGAAAACCTTCTCCATTTCTGTAATTGCATTGATGTTTTCATTTTCTGTGTGACTGTTTTGTTCGACATTTTTCAGCAAGTCACGTCTATCCTGAAAGTTTTAATTGTTTGAATAAGAAGACTAGGTTAAGTACTAAATGCTTTAAAGCATTAGAAAAGATGTACATATTTCACAGTTTTTGGATTTCAAATGTCTATGTAAATGTAATCATCTAAAGTTAAGGCGTATATGGTTATTCATTTTATATCTAATATAAAAGAGAAGAATAGAATGGAATTTTACAGTGTTCTGATTACTTTCTTGTCATGATATGAATGATATTTATAACAATGATAAAACATGGATTGTTCATTTTGTGGATACGTTTTATGGATTTGGAATCTTAGAATATAGAAATGACTAAATTGAATTTTGAGGGTTGTCCAAAATACTCGCAGACAATGTATATAACTTTGTTAATACGCAAACAATACTAATAAAGTTTGCATAGACATAATTACGGAAGCGCAATAGTGCAAACCAAAAATAAATAAAGAAAAACGAAATTATGAAATAAAGAAAAACAAAATTATCAAAAAAAGGAAAAGGAAATTAATATATATTAAGAGAAACGAAATTAATATATGAAGAAAACAAAATTATTAAATAAAGAGAATTGAAATAATTAAATAAAGAAAAACAAAATTAATACGAAGGGTGATCAAAAAGTTCGCAAACTAATTGAATAACTTCCATACAAGAAACAAAATTTGGTTTAAATGTTGATTATATTTTAAATTAATCCTCCCCGATTTTAATGCACATCAACCACCGTTCTGCTCATGCGCAAATCACGTGATATTGGTGGTCACGTGATCCCCTCCGTAGCGTTCTGTCACAAAAATTGAAAGATTTTTCTGAGTTTTATATTTCTTTCCATGTGAGTTAATTTTTATGACAAGAACAGTTCATTTGTCAGAAATGGTCATATCTCGGCAACAGATTTGGTGGATAATAATATCCTTTCCAGAAATAAAGATGGCGACCATTAAAACAAAAATCTTCTGTCTCAGGAGAGACCTTTATTCAAGGTGGATAAAGAATGGGTGCAACCTTTTTATCATATCTAATATGCTTAAAATCTAAAGTAAACGATATTTTAGATATTTGATACTTTTATAATTGTTCAAATATTCAACTATTTTTCAAAGTGCTAATTGGAGGTCTTTGATTGCAAATTGCTTAATTAAAAATGCATATCTTTTCGGACTTGCTTTCACTAGGCAAGATGACAAGTATCATTTTTAACCATCAGCCTTCCTTCACTAAAACGATTAATCCAATTATTATTTAAATTTATAGAAACTAATTTATCTCAATAAACTGTCTACAAATCATTATATGATACTGTAGAGGGATATCTAAGATATACAATAAATTGTACAGTCGTTTGTTGAACGAGTTCGACTGAGACAACCATTTTTCCTCACAAGTGACCTAAATAGTGACGTCATTTTCACATTGTGACGTCACAAACAAGGCGAGAAACTTTATTCAGCATATGCTATTTATAGAACTTGTGTATGGCTACGTGTGTACTGAATTTCATTCTAATCTGAATTGTGTTTTTTTTTTTATATATATAGAGATAGTTTGTGAACTTTTTGATCACCCCTCGTGTATAAAGAAAAGTAAATTATTAAATAAGGGAAAACGAATTTATGAAATAAAGAAAGAACAAAATAATTTATCTAATAATTTCGTTTCTCTTTATTTAATAATTTCTTTTTTCTTTATTTAATAATTTCGTTTTCTACTTTTAATAATTTCTTTTTCTTAATACATTAATTTCGTTTTTCTTTATGCATTCATTTCGTTTTTCAAGTAGAAAACTGAACCTAAAATAGGGAATTTTTAGATGTGCATGTTAAGGGCCTGAACCCATGAATCATTCCGTAAAGCGTACGTGTTATAAAGCATCACCTCGTAACTCTTTACGCCCTATATCGACATCACAAATGTGTGGTGGCAATGAAAAATTAAAGGAGATATGTATTTCAAATCAACAAACGTAGAAAAGACTAGAGCCGAGCTCGTTGCAAAGCAACGAGTAGGTCTTCCGTCCTGTTTGACCGGAAGTTACTTTCATTTGAAAAAAAAAAAGAGTAATGAAGTCGAAAAGTGGTTTAATCCTCCAAATTTATGTTCATTTTTGCAAAATCAAGCCATTTTTGGCAACTTCCGGTTTGACCGGAAGTACCGTCAACGGACGGAAAATTCAGATTTAAGCTTCCATTGAAATATGATATCCAAAAATCTGTCAAGAACAACAAAAATATGCAATTCTTGACTACTTCCGGTTTGACCGGAAGTGACGTCCCCGGACGTATTTTGACAACCTCATTAGATAAAGCCTGACATTTTGAACAACTTTGTTTAAATGACGTTTTATAAATTCCCAATACTTTTTGAGATATTAAACAAAAACTTTCAAGGGCCCTAGATCCCTAATTTTAGGGGCCAGCCCCTTTTTAATGATATCAAATGAAAGTGCTTGTAATTATGCACATCTTCTATTCAATATGTCTTAACAAAATATTTTTAGTTTTCAAGATAAAAAGGAAAATATGTGTAAATTTTCGCTCTTTTATGCGTTCTAATTTTTGACCCCTATATAGCGCCATTTTGAATGCAGAAATCGAAAAACAAAAACCGATGTGCACAACTTCAATCCTTCTGTTATCTAAAATAAGTAAAATTTCTGCTCCAGCTTTTGTGGTCTCTGATCCATTATCCGGAAACGAAAGCCTATGATTTTTCGTTTAAAGGGGAATAACTCAAAACCGGAAGTGACTTTTTGAAATTTTAGTCATGTCATCATTCTGATAGAGTTTAATAATGTCTATAATGTCTGAAAATTTGAGCAAAATTCGTTGAGAAATGAGTGAGATATGAGGCCTCAAAGTTGGCGTCTAGGAAGTAGAAGAAAAAAAAAGAATAATAATCTTTACCAACAGAATCAGTAGAAGGTCTTCCGTTGGAAACGGAAGACCTTAAATATTTGCACACAGCCTAAAATTCCCATTACGGAAAACATTCATAAACTATTTAATTTTGTTTACGGGAATTTGTTGCTGTGACATATCCCCACATCATTGTAGGAGTCTGTAATCCTGGACCTAGCTAGGATGGCTGTTTCTCGTAGCATAAAATTAAATCAATGACTTCTTGAATCGCGAGAAGGCTGGTGGAAAGTTGTTTTGACCCTTTTGGGAGACAGATGGGCATTTTTACCATGTAACCACTGTCCTCTAAAAACTTAACAGCATCCTTAAATCTTCTGTCAACAAGAAAGACGTCATCTTTTTGAAACCAAGATGCCATGTTTTCTACATTGTTTGTGATGGCATGCTGTGTGATAGCTGCATCGTTGTTATGGCCATCTGAGAAGTACGGTCCTAGCACTGACAATATATATCCGTCTGTTCCAACAATGACCATGGGTTTGACCAACGGTCTATGCTTGTGCATACTGAAGGACATTCTCTGAAATCGATAGTCTTGACTCTTCTGAATAAAGACATATTATATGTTCCGTCAAGGACTACAACAGCTTGGCCTGGCTGGGTTGTAAACAACTTCTGAGCTATTGGAGTGGTATGACTGGTGGCCATGTCATCATGGTTGATATGTTGAAAACCCACTGTGTGCGGCACAAATGTTTCCATGAGTGTTCTCCTTACTGCATGAATAATTCTTTGAACGTGAGTTGTCTTTAATCCAAATATTGTGGCCAGAATTTTATTCGCCAATCCAACCCTTAATTTCATAAGAAATACGCCAAGGCATGTCCTGACAGATCTGTTTCAGTATTTCTCACGGTTGACAAATACTGAACCATATCACTGAAGTTTTCTTTTGTCAACCCAGTTAGATCCTTATTGTTTTCTTCTGTCAACGGAGACGACACATCAAAGTTCAAATGGGAAGATGTTGATTTCATTCTTTGTCTAAGATTATTTAAAAGATCCAGTATATCTGTGCGTGAAAAGAATTCAAAATCCTTTGACGACTGCAGTTCTTGCAATGCTGCTAATGTGAAGTATTTATCATTCATGTGCTTTCTGCAACAACGATTTTTCTGTGAAATGAAAATTCCTTTTTCAACAAATACTTGGGTCCTGGCGTCTGAAGTGACTTGTATCAATCGATTTCGATGATTTGCTTCTTTCTTGCAGACAATACAGTAGCGATGAGTTTTTGATGCTGATTTGATGTGCAGTTTGATACATTTTGGGGAAGCAAATGTTTGAGAATGATCATCCTCATTATCCTCTAGCATGTTAATTTGCATGGTTCGACTTCTTGTAGAAAGAGTTGACCTTGTTTCTTTGTAAATCTTTGCAGTACATCGTGAGCACAGACGATCCGCATCAGTAATTACACGCTGCAATTCTCTGGTAAGGTATATGTTCAAAACACCAGTAAAACAGTGTCTACTATTCCCTATCTGGCAGCGCTTCTCACAAAAACAGCAGATGATTGATTTTACGATTGTCCAACGAAGAAATAATTGCTAAAAATGGAAAATAAAATCATCTCTGTGGTATGCTTGTATTGCACAGTTATTTATAATCATGTGGAGAGAGACAAAAAGTAAAATGACAGCTAAACTGAGAAAATGGAGTATACACTTATTTAATGACTAAGAGGTAAACAGTCAAATTGTTGTCCCGAGATAGTGGGGAACACCTGGGAAACTGTTGCCCGAGGCCGATGGCCTCGGGCAACAGTTTCCCAGGTCTTCCCCACTACCGAGGGACAACAGTTTGACTGTTTCACCG